GCATTCCACAGCAGCTAAAGCGGAGATGTTCACTCATGCCAGGCCAGCCACGTAAGCAGAATCTTTCAGAAGCCCTGCCGAATGAGGGTTCCAGGAAAAGATCAGCAGTTCTTGTTCTTTTTCTTTCTTTTTTTTTTTTAGAGACAGTCTCCCTTTGTTGCCCTCGGTTGAGTGCTGTGGCGTCACAGCTCACAGCAACCTCCAGCTCTTGGGCTTAGGCAGTTCTCTTGCCTCAGCCTCCCGAGTAGCTGGAACTACAGGCGCCCACCACAATGCACGGCTAGAAAAGAAGAAAAGGAATCCTGGCTTGATCGGACTATTTGTCATCGTCGGAGGATGGAAATGGCTTAATAACTACTGTGCTGAGTTTTCTAGCACTTTGAAATGCAGGTTTCTTGATAAGTAGTGGGTATCTGGAGGCACTTCTCTCTCTGCAGAAGCATTACTCAAACATACTTTGTACACACACACACACAAAAATACACACAAATATATATTCGCCCAATCTTTGGAATCAGTGGTACCCAACTGTATTGACAAAGTCAAAGTAATATGCTTAAATCCAGTAAGAAATGACAGTCTGGTGGCAGGAGGATGTACAGCAATCCTAATCGGCTACGTTAATACAATTCATGCTTTTAAATTGTCCTAGAAAGGGCAGGGTAGCATGAGGTACTTGGAGTTCTTCAGGCAGTCTCGAAACCTGCTGTGACAGGCTATCAGCAGAGTTAATAACCCAGCCTCAGAGCCTGCAGACTAAGCTGAACAATAACTGTTCAACTGTTCACACAAGGGAGCTGCCCCCCAGTGAAAGGGTGATGTTTAAAAGAATAAGGGAAATTACCAGACCCTGCGGTCACTACATCATGACGGGGAGGGAGAGTTCTGTTTTGAGGTGACCAGTGATTTCCACACCTCACTACACATCCCCACCTGACAGCCCCACCTCGCCAAGCCCTCCCTTATGAGAAACCACTTGAGCTGTCTTTCCCACTACCCTTTTCTGCAAAACCTCACATTGGGTGTGAGATGGATTTACTCCACACTGCAGGGCTGGACAAGACCAGAAAGGGGAAAGCAGAAGAGGGAACCAGAGGCGACAGGTTTCTCTGTTGTTTGTTTATTGCTTATTTAGGTGTTAAACTTGTAGATGGATTCTGATTTTACACGTAAAGAGCATCTGCTATCTGGGAACATATACTTATGTAAAATAACGTTTCATATCTGATTTTACTATTTTATATTTTAAAGATTTCTTTACATATTAACTATTTGTTGCTTTTCTTTTCTTTCTTTCTTTTTTCTTTTCTTTTTTTTTTTTTTTTTTTTTTT